AAAGAAAGATTGCACAAGCAGGACTGGAAGAAAAGAGGGTGATTATAGTTGCCCATATTTAACCAAAATACAGTAATTAGCCTGTGTGATAAAAATGACAGCCAAGAAATGACATAGAATTAAGAGTTTCAGAGACCTTACAAATCATTACAGTTTGGTGGAATAAGCCTATTATACTCCAAAACTCCAGGGGCTTTAAAGCATCCACTGCACACATTTCTCCATTCCTGTCTCTGAAGCTGTTTTTTCCTTTACTGCTTTACTGACCTGTGCCTGTGGTCTCTTCGCTTCTGAAGCAAAGATAATACCATTGAAAGTCACTCCTAAATGTAGCCGTTGACATAAATAATTTATATCCCAATATTCCAGATGGAAAGAATATTCTATTATTTTGTGGTGAGGGAAAAAATGAGGAAAGAGCAGACACAGTAAGATTTCAGCTTGTTCTCTGAGAAATTGTCTTAGTGAAAAATAAACATGACTAAAAGAAACCAGAAAATAGTCCTTGTCTTATTTGCTGATTCAGTCCCCAGTGAGGAGGGTGAGAGCCTGAGTATGAGACACATACTTTTTAAATTCAAGACATTAATTCAGACTGGAGCCACTGTGCAATGCAGGGTTGTGCTCTGGTAGCTGTGGGAAATCAGAACGATAACACCAAATATCTTGTACCAAAATGCATTCTGAGAAAGATGGTGAAGTGCACCCAAAAATATATAATGGTTGATTGGGATATGTCCCCTTTAAATAGTGAGTTCCCCTCTAAAGGAATTAGGAAAGAGGACCTGCTGGAGATTAAGTAAGTTTTGGATGAGAAGTGGTTGAGTCAAACCTAAGTACATCATGGAAAAAGAAAGCTCTGTGTCATCATATGTGACATCATCATTTTATTTGGCCACTTTAGGCCATTACCACTTACATCAGTAAAGACTTTCTTTCATGAAACTCTCAATATAGCAAAATAATTCTTATCTATGCAAAGGGAAGTAGAATGAAGTCCTAAATCTTGTTCATATGCAACCTTTGAGATCCCCAGCTATTTCAGAGGCAAATCCCCATATAGCAAATGTTCCTCCACAAGGCAGTATTTTCTTCACCTTTGTGAAAAAAAGGCAAGTATTTTCTTTAAACATTTGGTTTTCTGTAGCTTATCTGAGCAGATAACTTTTTCTTACTACAACATCTTGGCCATATATTTCAATTTTTGTAAATTTCTCTGTGAAAAGAAAACGGAAAAAAGCTGCCTCCAAATGCATATAGTTTCATTGACTGTAAAATAAAGAACTTGTATGGGTAAAAGTAAAATAAGAAAGCAATTTAATTGTATTAGAAGTAGCCACTACAGGAATGCCCAAACTAAGACATCCAAGTGTACACTTTTAGAATATTAAAATATGCTACATTCTTTTTATAGTGTTGGACCAAGTTTTATTCTGGAACAATGCAGATTGCTGTACAATTGTCAAGCATCTCTAGAATTTTACAAACCATACCCATCAGGTTGTTAAGGAGATTTATCAGGTTCCATTTGACCAGTTTCCAAAGCAGTATCATTATTAAAACCATCTTGATTAAGAAACTCAGAGCTGCCCTGAATAAACCGTGGCATATCATCACATTTATAGACTTGTGTTCAGAGCATTAATGGTCTCACTGAACCAAAAGTCACTGGATACAAATCCTTCTTCAGCTGCTGTCTTGGGATGGATCCTTTGTGTGAGTTCCAAGAAGAAATTGCATCAGCCAGCCACGAGCATGAACATGGGACCAGAACACACACAATGACAGCTGACTTTCTTATTTTTACCCCACTCTCCATTTGTCAGAAATTTTGCAATCTCCAACATGCTACTTGGATTTATAGGCAATCTCTCACTAGATAAGAGACAGAGTTCTGGGATCTGGAGTTTTACTTTTTGACAAAAGCTTTCCACAAGCAGTTTGGTGTGTATTAAAGTCAAATAAATGTCCACTGAAGCAACATTACCCTACCACCACTGGGCTGGACTTAATGAGAGCTCAGACAGTGGGGAGTCTGAGAGGTTCACTGGGGAGCCCATTTGCCATGAGAAAATGCAGTTTTATCACAGACATATTTGGCATTGGTTGTTACGCAGCCAAAAAGCTAAAGCTGCTGCGTGTGCTTTCTCTGTAAGCATGGGAGTATTTGGGGAGAAAATACTGAAAAGTGGCACGTGGCAAAGCACCTTCTGGCTTTAGGCATGGAGGAAGGACAGACAGCTGCTCCTGGAACAAGCCCTGAGAGACCAGTGGGGAGGGAGGGACCAAGGCTGGCAGGGGCTGAAGAAATGCAGATGAGCAGAGGCTGAAGAGCTCCATGCCAAGGGGACCTCAGCAACAGCATCAGGCCCAGAGGAGGAGAACAGATTGCTGCAAAAGAAACTATTTGAATAGACTTGGGTGGGGAAAAGGGGGGGGGAAAACCTAAAAAAGAAAAGCAGGCCAGCTCTCTTTGGCAGCAAATCCAGCTCACTAAGGTGAGGCTCACTGGGTTAAATTGCTGCTCAGTTATTTGCCAAGGGAAGCTTCAGCTATACTGAAGTGTGGGGCTTAACAGCATGAGACTAGGAGCTCAGTTTAGCATTGGTTAAAAGGAAATAAGAATAAACAAAAGGGCTCCTCTGCCAGACCTTTCCTGTTGAATATGTAATGTGTGGTGTCTCTATGCACAGGACTGCAAACATTCTCTCTTGGTTTAAAGCATCCTGGGAAACTTCATTAAAGTAATAATGGCTGTTAGTAAAAGTTAAACAATTATTTTAAAGTATCATTCAGCTTGATGATAGAGTTTATTGAAGTGTTCCTGCCAGCAGTTTATTCCCTGTGAGCAATACCTGTATTCAGAGCTCAAACACTGGATTATCACTCTCTAGCCTTTTTGGTGCAAACCCATAGGAATCTCAAGATTATTGTGGTTATGAAATAATAGTAATGAATTACACATATCCAGTCATTCCTTTGTAAGGCTCCTATCTCCATTTAAAAGCATAGAAATGTCTCATTTGATCAAAGGCTCTCTGCTTTCTGCTCATTTCTTGTGTACTTCCATGTGAATGTCCCTGGGTTATGCTATGGCAACGGCTGGAGCACCAGCAGGAACTACAGATAGACCTTGTTGCAGGAAAATCCAAACCCTACAAAAGCAGGAGCATGGGAATCTTATTTCTCTGGCCAAGTGTGTGATGGGGGTTGCTAGACCCCTCACTAAAGGGAGCTGGGCCAGTCATGAGAACTGGGCTCCAGGCAATCTGGCCCATCCCTGCCTGACCAAGTCCTCTCTGGGGATTGCCCATCTGCAGCAGGACATGCCAGAACTGCTCAAATCCCCCTTCATGAAAGGAATTAACACTTTCCTTTGTTGTATAAGAAGTTGAATGGGAAACATAGGATCGGGCAAAATCTGATTTGTTCCTACAGGACTGATGAGAGCACAGCAAGAATTTGGATTTTGTCACAGTTCTTCAGGCAGAAAGAGCACTGAGCCCTGTGTCCTCAGCAGGACTAAGAAAGGCAAGATTAATTCTCTAGGAAAGAAGGATTTACCAAGTCCTACAAAGAGCAAGAGGAAAGTAAGCAGTATTTTCCCTCAGGTGGCTGCTGGTGTTCAGTCTTTGAATACCTTGTCAATCCCAGGAAAGATAACGTGGATCTAAACTCACCTTTGGAAGCTTTCTTGGTCAGCCTCAAGAAGCTGCCTATGCTTAAAATGGCTCCAGAAGGAGAAGTAAGAGGCCAGTGCCTCTGCTTCTTCAGCAGGTACCACAGACACTAAAAAGCCATGCTCAAGATCAAGAAGGGGCTGCACTGACCAGAGTCCCTTCAGAAGTGTCAGTTGTTGGGGTGGCACGAGCTGCTGCTGGTGAGCCCAGCGCTCCTCAGGGCCGTGGGGCTCTGCTGTTCCCTCAGCAGCAGCTCTGCTGGGGCAGCCAGGTGATAGCAGCGAGTGGGCTGAGCTGCAGGGCTTTCTCTGAGCACCAGCCTGGGCCAGGGTCAGCTCTCGTGGAGCCTCTCCAGTGTCACTGCTGCGCTCAGAGGCTCCACTCTGCATCGCTGCTGGATGCTCTCTGTGCACGTGTGGGCATCACCACAAACCAGCCCAGTGCCTGTGTGCTCAGAGATTTCACAGAACTGGAACCATCAGGGATGGCACATTGTCTGTGTCTGTTGTTGAGGCTTGTCCTGTCAGGCTTTTCTCTAGGTAATGCAAAGGCAGTGGGTTTTGGCTTTTTCCTATGCAAATTCAGTCCTGACTCCTTGGAGCTGCAGTGTTATGTAATGAGGATAATACATGTGCATACATACAGATATATATACACACACACACATATATATATAAACCCCCACACAACACATTGCTGTCACTCACATGCCTCACAATAATGAAACAGATCTTCTAAGAACTGTCTTGACCATTTCAGCACTTTTCCAGCATCTTCCCCATTTCTGCTTTCCTGAAATAAAGAATTGTACTCCGAGTGAACTTCAGCACCATGGGTGGTTACAGCCACTGCTGTTACAGTGTTATTAGAGACTGATGACAGCAAAAGCATCCCTGTTATCAGTATTTCCCTCCTGGCATGCATGAACAAGGTGAAAGCACAAAACCAGATTATCTTCATTAGTGTTTATCCTCTGCAGGAGCTCTGACTGTCAGGTGTTGTTTATGCTGCATGGGTCACTTACCTCACTGTGAAGATACTGATACCATGCTTAGCAGTTTACTTTAAACCCATAACAAGGAAACCATCACCAGTTGTCAGGTTTCTCCTCTTTTTTTTTTTTTTCCTGGTATAAACACAGAATTTTTTCTTTCATTGGTGTAAGACAATAAGACATGATAAGTTTTGGCAGATAATATTCAAATTTTAATCCAAGGAGGAACAGAATTGACCTGCAGTTCTACCTTCCCAGGTTTTCTGTCCTTCCAAAGGAAATAATCTTTTGCTTGTAGTGTATGGCTCAGCTTTCATTAGGCTAGACTAAGTTTTTCACAGTGGTCATTCCTTGTGGCAGGATTGCCAAGGACAAGTGTGGAGAATCCAGCAGGTGGTCTGGTTCAAGTGGAATAGATAGATTGTGTCCTTTTTTCCACAGGGATGGAATTCATCACTTATTCATTCCTAGTGTTTTGTGCATCTTGACCTGACACTGTAGACAAGCAGTGCAGAGCAGATCACACAAAGAATATATTAAAGTCCAAATCAGACTTCATTTTTAAGGAAAACAAGTATAGATCACATCTGAGGCATAAGGCAACGTGTTCCTACCAATAAATCCGGTCCAAATCAGACTTCATTTTTAAGGAAAACAAGGTTATAGATCACATCTGAGGCATAAGGCAACATGTTCCTACCAATAAATCCCCAATCAGATGCACAAAAACTTGTAAGAGATGGAGAGTGTGATGAATCCCAGCTGCATTGACCAGCATTAGTTTTTCCTTTGTTCAGGAGTTTTCCACTTAGAATCTGGGTTGGCCATCTCCCCAGCAACTAATCCTCTAGGGACAGGGGGAAGAAGAAACAAAAAAGGGAAAATAAAGTTACTCAAGAATTCTACACAGCCTAAAGTTCTGCAACCATAAAAATGTCTTTCCTTTTCCTTTGAATAACCAGGCAAACAGTAAAGCATTGTTCAAAATAATATGTAAATGGAGACTTCTAGTTTTGTTGCCCTCTTTGGGGAATAACACTAAACAGCAAATTCTTCTTCTAAGTAGTCACATCTTCTGTCCTTTCAGTTTCAGCTTTGCTGTTGTTAACAAATACTTTTCTAGTGCCTTCAGACAGAAAACAAGGCATTGGTTTCACCCTGCATTGAGGATATTGACATGTTGAGGTCAGATTTTCTTGTAAAGGTGTGCAGAGCTCCAATGCTCATTTGTGGGCAACTGTTCCAGTATAGCACAGGCTTAATCTACTCTTTGTTGGAGGGGGAAAATGCCTAAACTACAAGGAAAAGGAATTTACTCATTTGCTTGTCAGCAAGGAGAAGCTGATGATATTTAAGAATAAATTTTCTCTTAAACTTTTAACACCACTAGTTCATTTATAACTATACCACTGAACTAACTCACTGTAGGTGGATTCTGCAATATCAATCCTGGTTGTTATAACCAAACAGCAAGCAGGGTTTGTTTCAGCAGGGCCACAGTGAGATTGTCTGTTAGAAGTCTGTAAGGAAATTGTTAAAGAAAGCCCAAAAACTTCAAATGAGTTAAAAGAAACCAGAGCAGGCATCATTCAGAAACTGATATTATCAGCAGCTCTTGCTCAGAAAGGAAGGGTACCCTTAGGTCTTTCATGAACTTGCATAAGCAACATTCCCATCTGGTATTGTGCTGGGCTCATAAAGCTGCAGCACAATCAACAATTAATTGGGGCTGGATGGAGCAAAACTGCTTCAGGCAGCAGAGAAAGCCTCACTGCCACGTTGGAGCTCAGGTCTGCACCTGAAACCTGCTGAAAGTGCAACAGTTCAACACCTGGCTCAGAAATGCTGCTGCTGTCCCACCCTGCAGTGGACACAGCACTGGGCACAGGGAGCAGGGGATGCTCTGCAAGGCTTGAGGAGAGTCCTTGCAGTGGGAGCCAGGAATTAATCCAGAGCATCTTCTTTACCCCAAAGGACTTCACAAGTTGCATCAACTCTTCCAAATCTGTTTAAGTCCTTTTTTACCTCCTGCACATTCTCAGAATAGGAGCTAAAATTTTGGACTGCAGTCAGTGATAAATTAGATGCCTTTACAACTCCAGGCCTCTGCATTCATGGAGGGAGTGAAAACTGTTATAAATACAGAGACAAGTGCACCCACATACCTTGTAAGCAATGATTCTGTGACACAGACAATATCACTAAGGGGAGGGTTCAGAAAACTCTTGCTTTTGTAATAGACACACACATCTGCAAAGCCTCTTCTAGGAGTAGTTCTGGGTTGGGGTTTTGAGTGGGATTTTCTGTTTGGTTAAGGGTTGAGTTTTTTGTATTGAGGAGAGGGTTGGGGTTTGGGTTTTTTTAGGTTCTTTTTTGTTTCATCAGTTAAGGAACATCAGTCCATCATAGAATAAGCCTCACTTAAAGCTCCCTTATGCCCATACCAGACTCTCATGTTGGAGCAGGTTTGATGTCTTTTTTTTCCTTAGTGACACTCACATCACAGTGCTACCCTCCCAGCTGTAAGACAGCCACAGCTGTGCCTCTCTGTGCACTGTTAAACAGCAGCTCCAAATGGGAGCCCTCCTCTTCCAGAGCTGTGAGCACTAATCAGCAGCTTCAAAATATTTTTTTTTAATTAACTCCCCCAAAACACATATGCAGTGAATAAAAATTAGACAATAAATAGCCTATGCAAAGGTTAAGGAAACCTTCTTTCCTTAATAGTTTTAAACATGTTGTGATCAGTCTACAGTGTCTGCTCCTGACTTAGGAAAGTGAACTGCTGTCAGACATTTCTTGCCATTATTGTCCTCTTCACCCTCCCCTTGTTTGGCTTTGTTCTCTGGTATAAACAGAGTTTGGAAGCATGGTTGGAATTAAATGTGGAAATTAACAGCTCCTCTGGCCTTTTTTTTTAGGGACCAACAGTATGTTTTTCCAGCTGCACCTGATATCTGGCACTGGTTTATTCCCCTTCCATCCATCACCTTAATTCAAAACCAAGTGGTCAAGCAACCAAATACCAAATCAGGAAAACAATAGCACACAATGTCCATAAAAAAGTATCTCCCTCTTTTGCCAGATGCACAGATGCCATTAACTCCTATCAAGCTTCAGCAGCCTGTCTTTCCCCTGCACTCCCCTGGCCTCTTCCCATTTCCACAGACCCTCTCAGGTGTGACCCAGCCCAGCCAGCTCCCACTGGGCCACTGCTTGAAGCACTGCAAGCAGAGCAGACACAGTGCTGCTGTCAGGGCTTTTGCCTGTTTTTAAAACCCAAGAGAAGAGCCACAGAAGCAGAGTGGATTGCAGTTGTGCAGCCTGCCTCGTCCCACAGCCTGGAGCATCCGTGTCCGGGATGGCCCTGCAGGGATGGAGCTGCTGCTCCATCCTCCCCCTCTGGACGTGGCTCAGCTCACAGCCTCTTGGTCAGCAGCAGCTGGACACCTGCTGCAGCTGCATCCTGGCCTGGGTTCTTTGGAGTTGGTTCACCTTGACCTGGTTTAGCAGAAATACTTCCCCCTTCCCACATTCTTTCAGTTAAGCTACAGAGAAATGGCATCTCAGTTTCACAGCATCTTCAGACCAGCTACCCTGGGGGTCCCAATTGCCTGCTTTCTCGTGGAATTTTGTACATCCCTAGAGCATAGACGTGGTTATTTTTCATGCCATTCTTAATATATTAGAGTCAAAAATAGAATTATTCTATGTAAAAGGCAAGGATGTTTTATCTCCGGAGAAAGAGCAGTTTAGTGCAACAGCAAGCAATTTGAAGGCACAAAAATAAACCCTCAACATTTTCTTCCTGAGAGGATGAGAAATGGGTGGGGAAAAAAATAGCAGTTGGTGAAGCAGTACCCAGTGGCTTGTTTCATAGCTGCACTTTAACTATTTAAAGCACCCAGATTGCACAGAGGCCTTGTTTAATATTTAGGGCCGATATTGATGGGCCTTGCTTTACTAACAGCATATTATTTTGTTCCTACTGGGAACAACCAGCTCCTGCATGCTAAAGAGACTCCTTTGGAAGGAATAGAAAGCATTTGAGCTGCAGCAGCCCAGGGAATCTGACCCTCCCCTTAACCAGGAGTGGTGCCTGCGCTAACTGCCAAGCACCAAGCCCACAAAAGCACAGATGCCTCCGCAGCCTTCCTCTCTCCCTCAGCCTGCCAGAGGAGAGGATAAAAGAATACATGAAAACCACACACACCCTCATCAAGGATTCCAGTCATTCATGAAACTGGACCAAAAGCCCCCAAGACCTGTGCAAGTGTCACAACGTTCAAACAGCTTTTCAAGTTCTTGTTCAGAACAAATCTGCCAGTCTGGAACCACTGCAAGCAGGTTCTACAGATCATTGACAGAGAGAAGCTGCTACCACAATTGCATCTGGATAAAACAGGACAGCTGCAAGATCTTCAAAGGTTTCACGTGGCTTTTAAGTCTCTGTGACAAACAAGAAAATCCTTTCTTTCCTGGATAATTGTTACCTTAGTGTGGAAGAACATAATGGCTGAATCCTTTCAAAGAAGCCTACAAGCCTTCATTCCTTAACAAGATAATTGTTTATCATTCACTATATGCCTGATATTCCCCAAGAGCCTCTGTCCCTTCTAAGCAATAAACAGCCCCTTAGCACATATCAAAGAACTCATTACAATCCTGTTGTGAAAATTACATGGCCAGACATTAAAACAAGCATAATTTTCCTATAGAGATAATAATTATTTAACTAATTGGGTATTTTTGCCACACAGCCCCCATGATAGCTTCTTTTTTTCCTGCTGTGTCTTCTAGAAAGGACAGTGTAATAAATGTGGTAATCGTGGGAAAGGCAAAGGACATAAAACACAAAATGTTTCAGAGACTGAAGTTAAATTCTCCAATAGTTCCTGCCCAAGATTTTCTGGAGATCCTATATTGGGGAAAAAACACTTCACGGACAGTTTGAAGGCCAAAAACTCCTGACCAATTAAAGATGTCCCTGAGGGCCACCAAGGCATGGGCTGCTAGGGTTGGTGAGCTACCCATGCTTAAATAAGATCTGGCTGTAGTGTTTGGTCAAAAGAAGTCTTTTAGAGTAAAACTAGCGTTTTAAAAAACCCACATTAATATGGTCATAAACACCTGTCTCAAAAGAAGAGCAGGATCAATAGGTTGTTGCAAGGGGTGGTAACCAATCTCCTCTTGTCAAAACTCTGCTCTCAGTGGGGAACCTTTTTGTCTGGCAGTGTCAGGCAGAGCTAAACAAGCTTTTTCTGGGACAGGGCTGCTCACTCTTTGCACTGTATTTTGACATGAACATAAACTGACATCAAAAGACTTTAAATCTGTTTATAAAATACAGTGGTCAGTTTATCCAAACCTCTTTTAGTTGTATAGCAAAGCTCAGAAACCCAAACACCCTGGTATTTTACTATCACTCCTGGCAAATAGACTTTAACTCCTGAGCAGTTCACTTGAGAGCAAAGCCTTGCTCACACCTTGGGGGTACCTCAGGCTGCTCTGTGAGCTCTGCATCAGTCACTGCCAGCTGCCAGGACCTAACCAGATGTGTTTGCTGCCTTGGCAGAGCTTCCCCCTATGAAAATGTACTCTTGAAAGTCACCCTACAAAGACACCATTGCCTGAACCTGGTTTAGGCTTTGGTTCTGATTTACATTATCAGATTAATAAAATGAAAAGCTTTAGTAATGGCCACTTTCAGAGAGGTGTCTGCTGCTTGCCTGTGCCCAGCTGGAGCAGGGCTGGGCCCTGACCAAAGCAGCTGCTGCCTGGTCCAGCCCTTTGTGGGACACAGGGGCAGAGATGATCCTCACAGCCCCTCTGGCAAGGAGTGGTTTCCTCTCCCAAGGCTGGATGTGAGTTTGCAGGATATGACCAAGCACAATGTCTCATTTGTAATGTCAAACAGCAGCCATACAAAATCCCAGCCTGCTGCCAGCTGTGCCATATATTCCAGGGAGTGCCTGGGAGGGTTTCCCCCCTGTGAGCCAGGCTCAGCTCTGGGACAGTGCTGTCACCACACACCACTTGCCAGCTACTGCTTCCAGACCCAGGAGAGCAGCAAGCAGTGCAGCTCAGTTCCCAGCCAGCTACCAGGGGCAGCAGGAGCAAAACTCAGCCAGATCCTTCTTTGGCAACTCCATCAGAGCTGGTGGCAGCTGCAGCTGAGCTCTTCTCCCCTGGACAGGCTCCTGGAGGCATTACCCAGAGGACAGCAGTCTGTCCACTCACTCTCACTTCTCTTCTCTTTACAGAAGGGGCCCCCCAGCCTTCCACCACCTCCTCCAGGTATTGAAAGGCAGCTCCAGTATGCAGCAACAATAAAGCACTAGAAAAGCTGCCAGATACAAACCAGCAGCAGAAATAAGACTGTCCACTGGAATCTCCAGTCCCCAGGTTCCCAGACTGGGCTGTTTTTGTGGCATAGTTACTGCTCATCTAAAGCACTGAAAGGAAAAATGGTCTTTTTTTCCATTCAGTCATATTTCCTCTGTACAGGGCTGCTGCTGCCCTTTCCATCATGTCCAAGTTCTGCTTTCAGACGTTTGGGTACTGGTACATTCTCCCAGGATCATATAATTATCAGTCTGTAATCTCCTGTTCCACTGCGGATATGAGCAACCCTTTTATGCTCACAGTAACAATTTAGAAGTGTTAAAGTTTGAGCACTGGGCCCCTGGTGCTTACACGTGTTTAAATTGGCCCTCCCTGAAAGCTGATGTATTCCATCTGCTCTATTTGATTTCTTGGCTTAAAGTTACTGGAAACACTGAATGTTTCTTCTGCAGTGATGCTGTGGCTGTCCAAGAGTAATACACACACTCAGAGCTCGTGCCTGGGCTGCTCAGGACTAAAACACTTCACTACAAGTGGCTTCAGTGGACTTTTTTTCCTTCCTGCTTTTAGAGCTACATTGAAATCCTAAGTCCTGCAGTTCACATTTCTAATCAATCCTATAACATGCAGGTAAGACTTGATGGATAAATAAAACACACACATTTGCAGCTCATTTCATCTAACATTCTGCCTGAATGATGGAAATTAAGCAACTAGATTTTTTTTTGTATTTTTGTCAAGAAAAGGAGCCCATACAGGAAAATCTTTAGGTTATAAAGGAACAGTAAATTATCAACACCAGCAGCAGCACTGGATTAACCATTCAGATATCCACTGCAAGAGTTTTACAATCCAGCTGCCTCCTTGCCATTCCCAGACTCTCCAGGTTCAGGGGTAGGTATATCGCTAAGTTAAAGTACACAGATGCATTCAAACTGGGTCACACAAGTCACTAAAACAGCACATTTCTGCAGCTTTCACAACCCAGCCACCTCACACTGTACAGACTCTGACAGTGTGCCTGGCCCTTGCCTTGGTCCATGTCCCACAAGCCTGAGCAAATGCTAGCAGCTGGAGGGATGCCCACGTTTCCAGCAGCACTGCTGACTCCTTGAAGCCTGTCTTTTGCTGCAGAAGTTGCATTTTAAAAGTGAAGATTCAGGAGTATTAAAAATATTTCAGCCTCTTCATCATCTTTACTTTCCTACACATTTCTGTCTTGTTCAGTTCAGATTCAGCCCTTTGCACACTTCCAGTACAGCTGGAGCACAGATGCAGGGAACCTTTCTGGTTCCCATCACCTCCCATTCCTGCCAAGCTGCAGGAACCCTCTTCAGACCTGCAGCCTCTTCATGATTTTAGCTCAGACCTTTAATTTAAAACAGCTCAACTCACCTCTCCAGGATGCTCTCAAGCCTGCTCAGTAGCTCCACCACGTGCACTCCTTGGCTGGAAAGCACAACCACCCTGACTGCTTTGAGCTGGGGTCACACCCAGTGCAGTGGAAAATCAGGCAAAGCTCCACGTGTGTCTCACTTGGAGCAGGTGAAGCCAATGGCTGAGGTCAGTGATTACCAGGACGAGCTGCAGCAGGCACTGGGGTAACAGCTCCCAGTGTCAGGTGAAATTTTGATACAATCAAAAATACACTGGGCAAGCTCCACAGAAACCCTCTTCTCTCCATTTCTGTGGTGAAGCCACACTCCCTCCGGAGTTCCTTCAACTCAGCTTTCAGCCATTAGCCAGGGCAGAAAATATCTTGGCTGCAAAATGGTGTCATGGCTTTGACTAAGTGGCTGACTCTGGGGGAAATGGATTCATTGTTCAGGAGGCTGGTTTCCATATCCTCATAATTGCTCCCAGCAAATGTTGACCATTCTCCCTCCTCACCATAGTGGGAGCATCTTCTGGTTGAGTGGATTTGCCATGTGTTTTGTACAGAGCAGCTGAATGCAGATTTACATAAAAATAGTATTGCTGAGCATTTAGTTCTGACCATTTTGTACTTGGTACAGCCATCTGCAATCAAAATGTTTGGAGAATATTACAGATGTTCTTGCATGTTAGTCTCAAAATCTCCTAAAATATAAAACTCTTACATCCGCTCTCTGGAGTTGCCAAACTTTTTCTGCACTTCTGTTATTAAGCAACTCTGTTATTAAGCAATCATGTTATTAAGTTTGGTGGATGTGAGACATCTTTGTCGTGTTCAGCACTGCATGCCAGGAGCTGGGTGGTCAGTGGTGGGGAGTGGTGTCCTGGTAACCCTCTCCCCGTCCTCCTGCCCACAGCTGGGCACCCCTCCCTGGGCACCACAGCAGGGGAAACAGGGCTGGAGAGCTGCACTTCCAGAAGGATGGGAGATTGCTGTAGGATCAATCCCACCACAAGGAGCTTTTTAAACAGCTTTTATCATACACAGCTCTCTAGATGACAGAGAGAAGGTGAGAGCAGATCTGAAGCAGAACTGGCCCTTTCTTTAGTAAAAACTAAGATGTCAGATTTTCTATAATGGAAGCTAATCACTACCCAACAAAGCAGCATGCTTGGAGGGTGGTTTTTCATTTTTAGCCTTGGTGAAATGTTCCTGAAAGCTAATAGCATCTATAATGTCGTTGCTGATTTGTTTTGCTGTATGAAAGAAAGCAGAAAATAGAATTGCTGTATGTAGGAGGTGAAGATGTATTTTGTGTAGTGAGCAATGTGCTGCAGTAAGAAAAGGCTGCCACGGTAAACATGCTGTCCCCACGAAAGCCTGAATGTAATCATGTGGCTAACCACTTGTGATCTTTGAAAGGCAAGGCGTCACCTGGGTGTCTGAGCACAGTGTGATTCTGGAGGCAGGAATCCAAACAATCAATCCAAACAGCTTCTCTCCCTCTCCAGCAGATGCTGCTGCAAAGCTGCGCACACCCAGAACCAAAGCAAAGCCGAGCCCAGCCCTCTGTGAGCAGCCCCCACGCCGCTGTCTGGATCACAAGTGGGCTGCTGGCTGCCTTCTCCCCTTCATCCCACACACACGGGCTGGCTGCAGCAGGAGCTGGGCACTGCAGGCCATGCCAGGGCTCTGCAGAGTGCCCATGCCAGGGTCCTGGCACGCAGCTCTGGGGCAGGTGGGTGCTGCCCTTCACCTCCTCCGGAGCTTGGCAGCAGCTCCTGACCTGCTGCAGGGACCCTGGCAGCTTCTGTATTCAACAGACACCACAGTGCACAACAATCTGTGCCCCACCAGGCTCTGCCTGTGCCCTCTGGAACCTCTTCTGCCTGGCAGGGCTGAGTGGGATAAAGCCCATGGCAGCCCCGGTGGTGAAAGCCACTGCCAGCTCCTGCAGCACAGAGAGCAGCACGGGCCATGGAGGGAGCCAGGGGAAAGAGCGTGCCCAGGGGATTTGGGTGCCCAGGGGATTTGGGTCTGCCTGGTTTCTGAGGGCTGCCGTGGCTGGGGGCTGCAGATGCCATGGGAGGATGGGATGGAGAGGCAGGAGCACAAAGTGGGGAGGGAGCCACAGCAGCAGTGCAATAATACATTTCTTTATTTTACTTTTAGAAAGATGAAGAGGAGCTCAGTCTCGTGCTATTAAGTAGTAGATCCCACACTTGGGACTCACTGTGGAAAAGCATTCCAGCCTTGAGTTAAACTTGGCCTGATGGTTTCCAGCTGTGCTGTGCTTTTCACAGCCTGCACCTTTCACTGGGAGCTCTGGTATCATTGTCTGAGCTACCAGACCCAGGGGTGTCCCGGGAAAGAGACCCATGCTTGAAGGTCACGCTGCCCAGTTTTGTGGATAAGAGACGGAACTTGGGGCACACAAACATAGATCACACTTTATTTTCTGTGCCAGACACTCCCCTTCTGAAAAGTTCATTAGAAGCTTTTATGTGCGAATTTAAAATCCAGCTTTGTCTCAGAGATCACACAGGAGGGAGGGAAGCTGCATGTGTCTGTATTTAAGGTGCTGGTGGCTCTGCTGGTGCCAGACCCCCCCAGGGTGTGGGATGGGATGTTTCACTCACCCAGCTGCTGGCTTTGCTTCCAGCACAGAGCTGCAGCAGCTCTGCAGAGCTGCCCTGCAGCAGGGCCAGGCACAAAGGACTCAGCTGGGCTCTCACCTGGGCAAAGGGACACGAGGCTGAAGTGTCGTGAACTTCAGTAAAATTAATATCCTAAAAATCCACTGCAATTATTTGCAGCTTTTGATCAAACCAGGTGCTGATCAACAGTCTCCAGTTGATTAATAGCAAGCACTCACTACAGAAACAGACACTAACAATCTCCCATTTCAGTGTGTCAAATGCACATAATTACTCATCACGGATACTATTTATATGCCCACGTACTGCTAAGTGAAAGAATTCTTTCATCCTGGTTTTATCATTTCTAGATTAAATCACAGTTTTTCCTATTTCCTCCAGACAGCAGCTCAGCCCCACAATTTTCTCTCCAAATGACAGGCAATTCTTTTAAGCACATTGAATTATTTTTTCCAGGTGGTGGTTCAGTTGAAATTAAATGTTACTCTTTAACATTGCTCAGCGGTACAGCTGTGGCACACAAAGATGACAACTTTAATATTCCAGCCAACTTGAAAATCAGAATTAAAAAGAGGACTTTAAATTCAGTGTTACTTACTCCAAGTGAGCACTGGCAGCCAGCACCCCTTTTTCCTGGTGTGAGGGTGTAAGGAGCACAGGGAAGTGACAACACTCGTGTGCTGAAGGCTGGAAAGGGCCTTGGACCTCACCTCATCAGCTTAAAGACTCACTCAGGCCCCACAATTGAATAAGTACTGGAAGATTTGATTTGTATTGTCATTTTTCATCTCTTAGTGGTTCGATTTCCCAGCAGCTGGTGAAGGACGTGGTTACCTCCATCCCCTGGGAGCAGCTGAGGCTCTGGTGTCCTGGTGAGCAGAGCGAGGTCCCCAGCTGGCAGGGACACAAGGCACCTCCTCTGCAGGAGCACAGGCTGAGGGAGATGTCAGGGAAAGGCAAGGAAGGTGTCTGGGAACAAAGAGGCCACTGTGCCATCCCTCAGAGCTCACTGGCTGTCCCCCCCAGACACACACCCTCTTCACCACCTGGCTGCAGTGGCAAAGTGCCTTTGATCCAGCAGAGGCTTTGCTGCCCCAGTACCAACCTGGACAGTTATTTCATATCCATATTTCCTTTGCTTTGTCCACAGAGGATCGGTTAAAAGCCAACATTAATGTGAAGAACAGAGGAAGGTCAAATTAATCTTGAAGAATCACAGAAGTTCATGAGATAAAGCCCAGCAGTAGCCACGTGTTTGGGTGCTCTGCTGAGTGAAATGTGCAGATAGGAGTAAAAGACAAAAAATACAAAATTTGTTTGCTAAATATAGAGTAAATAGCTCAGATATTTTTATCTGTCAGGAGCTGCATACCCTGAGGCACCAACATTTTATAAAAGTCGTATTCTATAATTTTGCAAATTGATAACAAAAGGGTAAGGCATTGATACTACAGATTAAGGCAAAATAGATGCATTCTTGTGAATCTGCTTACCCTTACCACGGAACAACAGTGCCTCCCAATGACCAGAGTGTAACTCTGAAGGTTCATATACTGCTTGTCACTGTATCTTTTTTCTTGTCTCTGATACTTCATGTATTATTTCAACCACAACATCTCAGCAGATTTCTCTGCCAAGAAAGCTTTCATACTGAACTACAAAATTAAATTACTATCACAGAATCAGCATATATATCCCCTGCCAGAATATTCTGTTCTTTATTTGCAAGCAAAATAAAGTGGCTGCAAGACCTGAAACACGGGTGTGTGGAACCCAAAGGATACCTGGCAAGAGTGCAGTGGTGACTGTTCTGGTCAGTGACACGTGGCAAGGTCTCAGTTAAGCATGGAGGTACTGCTTTTCTTAACTGATTGCAAAAATAATTCACCAAATAAAATTAACATTTCCCCTTTTTTTTCTTTCCCAAACCAGGTCCCGATTATTTCAGCTCCAAGAATCTTGCGCTGCAAGCCCAGAAAAAGATCCTGAGTAAAATGGCAACCAAAACCATGGCTAACATGCTAATCGATGACACAAGCAGCGAAATCTTCGACGAGCTGTACAAAGTAACAAAGGAGCACACCAGAAACAAAAAGGAAGCCCATAAAATCATGAAAGACCTGATCAAGGTGGCCATAAAAATCGGCATCCTCTATCGAAACAACCAGTTCAACCAGGAAGAGCTGGAGATCGTAGACAAGTTCAGGAAGAAGCTGAACCAAACTGCCATGACAATCGTCAGCTTCTACGAGGTGGAGTACACCTTTGACAGGAACGTGCTGGCGGAACTGCTGAACGAGTGCAAAGAGCTCGTGCACGAACTCGTAGGGCGGCACCTGACGGCGCGCTCCCACGGGCGCATCAACCACGTCTTCAACCACTTTGCGGACGTGGAGTTTCTGTCTGCCCTCTACAGCCTGGACGGGGA